ATCAGATGCAGGAGTTTAAATGTAACTGGGGTCAATTGTTTTTAAAAATGAAAACCTGCTTCCGATGTGTCGGTTTAGGCACGGCGCGGGCTTTCAGCGTCATGGTGACCGGCGGCGTGGACATTCACTGAGCCCCAGGGCATCTTAGGCTACAATGTAACTCACCACCATCAGTGCGTGATTGATTGAATGACTGAATGTAGTGTTTATAATAAAGGCCATGTAAGATTTATTATAACTGGGTAAATAAAAAAAAAAATACTTTAATTGCTCTAATCAAGGGCGGATACAATTAATCCGATAATTTCAATAATCGTCAACTATCTTAGTAATTGAACGACCCACTTAGAGCAGTAAGTATTTATTTTTTTTTTTTTTCCTTTTTTTTTTTTTTTATTCACTTCAACCATAAGTGTTCCTGTAAAACTTAATAAAAAAATAAAATTACGTAAAATGAAAAAGATACATATTTAGATATGTTTATTACATATTCTATATTTCAGATAAAAAAAAAATAAAAAATTTTGTCTGTCAATATGCTCTATCCTACGGAAGAGGATTAGGGCCACTGAAAAAAATAAATAAAAGTTAACTGATTTTTTAAAATTTTCTTTCAGTTTAATATGGGAAAGTCAGAATTCTGATTAAAAAATAGTCAGAATGCTGAAAAAAAAGTCAGAATTTTGAGGAAAAGAAAGTCAGAATTCTGATTAAAAAAAGTCAGAATTCTGATAAAAAAAAAGTCAGAATTTTGAAAAAAAAAAGTCAGAATTCTGAGGAAAAAAAAGTTAGAATTTTGAAAAAAAAAGTAAGAATTCTGTATTTTTTCCCATTTTAAACTGAAATAAAATGTAAAAATCAGTTAACTTTTTTTTTTTCAGTGGCCCTAATCCTCTTCCATACTATCCAGAGCTCCTCAAGTGAAAAAAGATTTAGTTTAATTGGTTTAATTCTGTAAAAGAATCTTCTCTAAAGAACCTTTCGATATCCGATTACTATTATAATTATTGAAATAATAAAATTAATCTACAGATGTTTAGTTGCAGCTCTAGTCTGAACTGTAGTTCAGTTTCTCCATGTCAGAACCTCGTCCAACACTTTAATGATTCTAATTGATGTGAATTTAAATGTTTTACTTTTACAGAAACTTATTTTTTCTGTTTGTGTTTTTATCTGTAGTATCTGTTTGAAAATGGCCGTGTGGAAAACATCTTCATGGATCGATTCTACTGCAAGTTCTCCTCAGATTTCACCAACATGCTGAAGAGTTTCAAACCCACCGTCACCCGCCGAGGTGAGCTGACCGTTAGCCGCTACAGTCACAGTTGGTAGGGAATCATCAGGGGGGGTTCCTCACCGTTCCCGTTTCCTCCACAGGATACATCCATTCCCGGGTGGAGGAGGAGTTCCTGTGGGGGTGCAAACAGCTGGGGGCGTACTCCCCCATCGTCCTCCTCAACACTCTGCTCTTCTTCTGCTGCAAGTACTTCGGCTTCACCACGGTGGAGCAGCACCGCCAGCTTTCCTTTGCACACGTCATGCGCTGCACCAAAACCAACCCGGACAACAGCAAGACCACCTTCCTGCGCTTCTACCCGCCCATTCCCATAAACGAAGCCGAGTCAGGTACATTTCACACCAGTAACAACCCGCTTGGTTCGGTTATGTTTACGAAAAGTGAGACTCGTTTATAAAAACCTGCAGCAGATTCAGGTGAAGGAAACATCCATGAATGACTGAATAAACAGGAAGATGGAGAAACCAGACAGAGTTTACATAAACAGAACAGCTGCAGTAGCAGCCATTCCCTTCAGAAGTCAAACGCCGGCCGAATGGCAGGAGATGATGCTTCTCTTTAGATCTTAATGTTCACAAATCATGACAGGAAGATTATTTTATTACAAAATAATAATAATAAGGAATTGAAGGGGACCAGCCAAGGAAAGTGGAGAAATTTTGAATGGCTACTACTGTACTTTTTTTACAGAAAACATTCATTGATTAGGAAAACAGGTTATTGATCAGGTGCTAAAGTTGTTGGCTTTTTTTTTTTTTTTTTAGCATAAGCTCCCGCAGAGAAAATTCTGCTGGAACATTCTCTACATTTTAATGAATAAAATGAAAGAAAGGCATCAGACAGTTTCATATTTATGGTTTCTAAATTCCATTCCATCCATTTTCCATTACGTTTATCCCTGCTGGGGTCATGAGGGATGCTGGTTTCTATCTCCAGCTGGCGAGAGGCGGGGTTCACCCTGGACAGGTCGTCAGTCCATCACAGCGTCTGTGCAACACACAGACACACAGAGACAAACAACCATTCACACACACACTAAGGAGATTGTAAAGAAGCCAATTAACCTAACAGTCATGTTTTTCGACTGTGGGAGGAAGGCGTAGTACCCGGAGAGAACCCACGCATGCTCAGGGAGAACTTGCAAACTCCATGCACAAGACCTCGGGCCGGGAATCGAACCAAGAACCTTCTTGCTTTAAGGCAGCAGTGCTACTGCTCCACTGAGCAGCCAAGGTTGCCGATAGCATCACAACTCTTAAAGTAAATTGATTAAAAAATTGTTTCTTCTCATGTTCCTCTTTTATCATTTTTACCAGAATTTTTTATTAAACTTTAACATCTTCTGTCTATAACTGAGCTCAGTTACCCGGAAGGAGCTCTGAGGAGAGTCTGGATCAGGAAGTCTGAGCGTCTTTGCTTAGGCTGCTGCCATCGTGACCCGGTCGCCGATAAAGGGGGAAACAATGGATGGATTGGAACTTCTAGCTTTAAGAATTGTTTTAAAATTTAAAAGACAAAGACCAAATGAGAAGTCGTTGAGTTTTAGTTGTGGGAAAGTGAGTCATCAGTGGATAATTTAGCCCCGCCTCCTCCCATCAGCTCACAGTAAAATGTTTTTCAGATCCAGACGCCGTTCCAGCGAAGAGACGCAAAGAAGAGGAGAGTAAGGAGGAAATCCTGGAGATGATGGAGAACACTGAGAACCCGCTCCGCTGCCCAGTTAGGCTTTACGAGTTTTACCTCTCCAAATGGTGAGTGGATGACAGCAGCACTGAAACTATGGATAGGATCGACTGATTATTGAAATAATCATCAATTAGTAATAAATCAATCAATGTTAGAGATCCTTAAAACCTGCCGTTCACCTGCTTACTACAGCTTTTTAGAAAAACTCTACAAATATTAACTCTAAACCTTCTTACACTTAACATTTAAAAAAAAAAAATTATTTATGCAACTTAATTTATACCTATGCATATTTTTGCTATTGATTAAAAATGTTTGGTAAAAGCTTTCTTTATTCTAAATGTTTATTTAGAAATGTAAATATCTGTGTTAACCGATTCAAAGGAATCCTCTGAAAACAAAAATAAAAGATCCAGTTCCCAAAACTCTAGAATATACTTGGAACCTGAAAGAACGCATGTTCATTAGGTCTACAAGTTCAAAGCCTTACTCCATTTTTCTCTATTCTTTTCCTTCTTTTAGCTCCGAGTCGGTCAAGCAGCGCACCAACATGTTCTACCTTCATCCTGAGCGTTGCTGCGTCCCTAACAGCCCCCTGTGGTTCTCCTCCACTCCTCTGGACGACGTCACCATGGAATCCATGCTGACCCGCATCCTCACCGTCAGAGAGCTGCATCTCAGGACCAAGAAAGACCAGCAGGCGGTTTCTGACCCCACCTTTCAACCCGAAGATGAAGAAGACTCTGACTGATGGGGAGAACCCAAGTGACCTTTTAGTGCTGGTTCAACCGCTGGTCTAAATGTAAATAAACTTCAACGTTCACTACAACTTGTTCTCGGTAATCCAGAAAAGCATTGAGCTGCAGAAAAATCCCATTTCCTAAACTCTGAGCAAGAGTTGCACATCTCCAAACGCACACCGTCTCTGCGGCCCTGAAAGATGCAGAGCTGCATAGTTTAAACCCTTCTCATTGATACGGTTTGTTTCCTTCCACGTGTTACGATTCCTAACATTTCAGCGAACGCAAGTCTTCTGTGTTTTATTTTTTTTGAAAGGTAAATGATGGATTTCCACACTAAAGATCTGGATTTATGCAAAAGAATTAAGTTCCCAGAACAATGACTGATCTTTTTCCACTTTATCCCCCCTAAATCAGAAATCCTGTGATTTTAAAGATGAATAAAAATGATCAAATATCTTTAAAGATAGTGATGCTTGTTGGTTTCCTGCTTGGTTTAGATAAACGTTTGCTCCAAAATACCCGATTCAAATGATCGGATTAACTCTGTTATTATTTTTACCTGATCACTTGTATAAAAAAATAAATCTAAAACATGCAGGATACTGAACTGCCTTCTCTGTTTGGGGAAAATACAATTCTGAGACCATTTTTAGCCCGTTTACACTAATATATGAATCAGATTTGAGGAAGGATTATATAAAGTATTTCATTATCCCAAACTGCATTGAGACTGTGATGATTAAGGGGGGCGGAGTCAAACAATGTTTGTTCTCCAAACGATTTGAATGTAGCTGCAGGAGTGAAGTTTGGGAAAGGAAGCTCAAATATTAACCCAAAACATGATATTTTGCCGTTTTTTGGTATGAGGTTTTGATATTTTGGGATATTGTCTAATCCTCAACGAGTCCTGGGGTCATGATGCTGGTGAACCGCAGCAATCTACGTGTATCTTGGTTATTCTAACCACCTGTCTTTAGATTATAGCTGTATGTTTTCTATTGTTTGTTCTCATTTTTAATAAAATATCATAAAAGAAAAAGTATTTACGAGTCTGAATCATCTGTAATAGTTGCACATGTGGAGACTTTCCACACATAGCAGGATGTCTGGGAAGAAAAGAGACATTTTTATGCAGCCACACATTAATTATCCCTTAAAATGTTGATCCTAAAAACTGCTACCAAAGTAAAGATTGCACAAAAGTACCGATTTTAGCCTCTGTGTAAAAATGTGGAAGCATATTCATCAAAGTCGCCATCCTGGTTCTAAAAGTAATTATTTCTATACTTAAGCATAAATAAAATTCTCAGCGACGTACTCCTGCAGGTTGGTGTCGATGAAAACCTTTTTAA